ACACACACACACACACACACACACACAGCATTCATCTAATTTGCCACAGTTTCAAAACATGGTGTGACTTCTGCAATAGCCACAGTGTAACTAATCTTATTTTGTAGAATTGATCAAACTAACTCACTAGAACAGATTTGTGTTTTGCTTGTTTTGAAACGTGGCTGATAATTTGTCATTCTTTGTGAACTAATGATAACCCTTCTGACCGACACTTACATTTCCATCCTCTGCTCCCATTTCTCCAAACGTACAGTACATAAAGATGTTCATGCTGTTGTTTTTGGTAATATAGATGTATTAAGTGTGCAGCCAAAGAACTGTGAGCTTTTGTATTATTTCCACTGGCTCATTTCTCAAGTTTAAATATTTTGCTGTGGAAAATTCATACGGTGGGTGTCGGAGCTATTTTCCATTCAGTTCACTTTAGTTCAGATCAGTTTGGTTGAAAAGGAATAACAATGCATTCTTGATAAGTAATGAGTAACTCAAAATTCAACCTTCTGGGGAAGTCATTTCGTGTTGTTTAAAGATACAGTTGTTTCAGGAATAAATAACTTTTTGGGCACCATTTGAAACATCAGCATTTGATGCAGTGAATGTCCACATTTGATATTCAAATGACCAAAGAAAAAAGTGAATGCAAATGTCAACACAAACTCAATAGATGTGTGTTTGCAGGAGTGTATGTACATTAATGTGTATGACTCTTGGTCGCATCATTGAGGTGCAGTGTTTTGGCAGTGATTGATTTATGGCCCCTCAGAGAGGAGGATTGAAAGACAGAGGCAGCGGCTAGTATATACATTTTGTGGAAATGTGTGTGTACTTGTACTTGACTATTATAGAGTGAGGACATTCTGGCCTCTGGACGTGTGACCTTAACTGATCCCCAAACTGCGTTTAATCATGAATACATGGCAGAAGAGACACACTGTATGCGGTGATGCTCCTGCTCTCCTGTGTCATTGTGTTAGCAGGGTGAAACATCAAGCTGGAAGTGGTTAAAACACTTTAGTGGACATCATAGTTATTAAGAACAGAGTGCGGCTCAGACTGGATTTTTTTGGGTGAACCAGTCCAAGCCTGAGAGAAAACTAACTGTCTGACCTGAACCTGATACAGTAAATATAAGCTGCACTGAGTTTGTGTTTCCCTTAACCTCACACACATGTTAAATGCTTGATTCACCTTATAACAGACATGTTAAATGTAGTGTTGCAGACTGACTAGATTTCCAGCAGACTGGAAAACAGATCAGACGCTGCAACTCATCGGAGACCTCGTTGGTGAGCCTCTCTAATTGCGGCATTGAAGAGTTCACACATAGGTATTAACCACTAAGTGCTGATCAGGGCTTTTGTCAGCGTTTGGCAAAACTAATCAGCAACTAGCAAATCGGGCTGAAAACCATGTGAAGTGTGTAGCTTTGGTTGTGATAGTTAACATTACGTAAGGGGCAAGAGGTACAAGAATACGTGTGTGTGTGTGTGTGTGTGTGTGTGTGTGTGTGTGTGTGTGTGTGTGTGTGATGTGTCTTCTTCCTCTATCGGAGGTGAGTGAGGTTGCTCTGAGGGAAATTATATGTGAGTGTATGTTTCCTTGTCTACCACCGCTCTTGCACACATCTGGTGTTTGTGTGTAGGATGTTAGGTCGTATTACCATTTCGCCCTCCTGATCGCCCCCCCGAGTCTTCCTCCTCCACTCTTTCCACTGACAACCTCTCTCTCCATGCTCCACATACATCCAGATGTGTGTGCCCTGCAGCGTGTTGACACTGGGGCAAGTGTGTTGAGAGAGACTGAGACCCGGTGGCATAAGAACGAACAGCAGACCCACTGTTTGTCTCTGCATACATACAACACTGGACTGATGACCAAAGTCCATCTGAACAGACATATAACCGCAGATGGCAGCACGCTATCAGTGCTAATCTAAACCAAGCAGCCCTTTGTCATGACAACACGCTTTTCTAAAT